ATAACGTAAATAAGTTAAATAAATAAGTAAATAAGTATAATATTTTAAAATTTTTAATTTATTAATTGATAATATATATCTATTTATTTTGTCCATAATATATAATTTTTGTAAGTATTCAAATAAACGGCCGGACCGATTTTCATGAAATATTTTGTGTTCGAAGAAAGGTGCTTAAAAGTTTGTTACAAGAAAGGTTTAGATTCACAATTTAATCTGATATAAAATCTTTTTTGCACACACGAAACAGGTTTACAGTTTTTTATAACTATTTTTGATATATATGTATATGTTATTTAAAAAAATGATGTGTTTGACGGGTTGAACTCATTGGACTACAAAACTCAACCGATTTTAATAACATTTTGTAGAGATACCTTGGAAAAAAATATAGAATACCCATAAGTAAAGCAACAATTTGTCTGGTTTTAAACAGGACAGTCCTTTTTTTGTATTTTTTCCTGTTGTCCTCTGGGGAATCTTCGGGACATTAAAATATTCCCTATTCAGAAAGTAATAAAAAATAACGATGGTTAATTTTAATTTTTTGATCAATTATTATTTTTATTGTATTTAACTAGTATGTATGCATAGATGTGTACAAACTGTATTAGTGGCGACAGGAAGTTTTTTCTTCTCGAATCACTCACCAACATTATTTACACTACATAATTTTAAATGGTCACAAATTCACTACCTCTATAAATGTTTATAATTTATAATTTATATTTCTGTATTTCTCATTTCATATTATTAATATAACGTATTCGATGTATGAGTATTTTACCATGGTAATTATTTTCTTGATTTTTTTTTTTTTTAAAGACCACCCTCAGCCATTTTTTCATGGATCACGTGATTCAAACATAACCCCTTTGCGCAGTCACTGCACTACAATATTAGGGCTTAAATATCTGATACAATGGAGCTCCACATTTATCAATAAACCCATATACGAAACTTCAATTGTTTTAGGACTTCACACGCTACGCCTGCTGCAGGCACATCGTCAAGGAGGGGGCCTTAGGGATCCTAGCCCCCTAAAAAAAATCAGTGGCTCCGAACTGACCCCCTTGATTTTGATTTTTAAATATTGTGGTGTTTATTTGTCCCAAACCGACTAAATCCTGAATGTATATTCCATATGAGCGATTGTAAACTCTGCTAGAATATCGGTTATGATGCCAGTTTTTTTCTTACCTGTAATGGGTAAATGTAAACTCCTCCTGTTTTTTTTTTTTTTACCTGCTTAGTGCTCACATTGCCACGTGCCTTCTCACATTAAACATGTTAACATCTATTGCGATGATGTATGTCGAAATTGATAAAATTATTGTCATGGTTCGATTCATTTCAAGGTGGATATATATCCACATTAATTCATTTATTAATAATTTTGTCTTCATATTTTCTGAAATTAGTATTTCCAATGATGATACCGGCAGTAGGTAAGGTATACGTAAAGTATACTTTGGCGAACATAATCATTCGTAGTCTGCGTGTCTCCGTGTATATTTTATATTGAACGAAATATGTCGCAACAAAGTAATAATATAAAATTAATTACTGGACAACGAAGCAATTTATTGGTTTTATTTAACAACTACAAATATAACCAAAGTATAAAATATGTGTCTGGTGAAATAAAATGGAGGTATGATATTATATAAAATTATAATAATAATATTTACTTATTATTATTTATTACGTATGACTTTTAATAATATATCATATTAATTTGATGTTACTATTCGATTTTCTTCACCGGTGTAGTTTACATGTATTCAATTTTACCTGATTTTTTTTTTTAGTGGCGGAGTTTCATGCGCTCATTCCATATAATTAACGATCGTATAACAAAAATTAAATTCTGAGATTTTATTTTATAAATATTCGTCACTTAACAATTTGAGATAAGACAATAGTACGTGTATTAATATATTGAAAACTAGGAATTCCAAATACAGATATCGAACGCACATTTGATAAACACAACTATAGAAAGGGGCCAAAAAAATGTTGGTCCCCTTATAGAAATATGTCTGGTTACGTGCTTGGCTCGCCGGCTTCACTTGCAAACTCGAGTGCCACTGCGTAGCACTTTTTATGAGATAGAACATCGCCCCAAAGGAAATTATAGTCAAAGCCTAACCTAGTTTTTGTACAAACCTTGTTACTGTTGAGGATGGGATTATGCATTGAATGTGAACCCAGTCTCGTTGCACCAGTAAATCACATACTTCGACTGTGAATAAAAATTAATGTAACATAATTAGATGTGAACACAGTGGCGTCTTTACGGGGGGGAGGGTGTCCAGGGATACTGGATCCACCCCAGAACCTCTTAAAAAAAAAAATAAACTAAAATTCTTACATATTTGCAGAATTGGCTATGTTTAACATTCACAGGGAAGTTAAAATTACTGTTGATGAAGTGGCATGCATGCCCGCAGGGGGGGGGGCAAAAGGGGCCATTGCCCTTACTGGGAATTTTTGTTTTAAATCTATTGTTAATTTAATAGCACGTATATTAATAATAACATAATTTTATTGAGATCCATTTATGAATTTTAGTAAAATTTATTATATTTTTAGATAATCTAAAATATATAATCTTGAACGTATTTATTAGTACTTATACAATGTTTACACATGATTTTATATCGCTTAAAACTATAAGTTTTCCCGAGTACCGATTTCCATGGTATTTGATTTTGTTCTCATCTATTTTTAGATATACGTTGCTTTGGCCCATTGAATTTTAATCTTGTCCCGTGTGGGATTTTAACTTACGGGCACGCTTGGATAGAGGAGTTGGCCAAGAAATTGAGACGACTGGAATTTATTTTATAACAATACTTTATAATATATAGTGCTAAACTCAATATATAGGTATATATATATATATATATATATATAATATTACACAAGACTATACGATTATTACATTATATATTTAGTTCAACCTTCTCCAAAAACTGCATAAGGACGTAACTATTACAATATAATATATAGTCTATATTAATTATGTATAAACTGTGGACTCTCCCCTCAGAAAAAATTGAAAATACGCCATTGGATAACACTAATAACAAATATTATCGTAAATATTTATATTTTGTTTTAGTATTCGATGAATACACAACTCATTGGTAAACTTTTAACTTACGTCACAATAGTCAATAACACGGTATATTTTCTTATTGAAATGCTGCTTCTCTACATTAACGTCATAAACACATGATTTTTAACAAACACGCAGATATGCCACACTTAAAATAAACACAAACGATCTGTTTAGAGATCAAATAAAAAGGGCAATAATTTACGATGGTCTTACCACACGATTGACGTATTATACATTTTATTTGAACATTAGTAATATTAATTTTTCGTTGCGCAAAAATTTTATCAAAAGTTACTAATTACTACGCAGTGCCCTCTTGTATAGTAACGATAAAAATGTGCGAGAACAATATGTTTTGTATTTCTCTTGAAAAATAAACACATCAAGTTCCAATATTAACAACACAGGTATTTTTTTTTTTTTTTATAATGATTCACAAAAAAACGATAAGCAAAGTCAATATTTTTTTTACATACATTTTTATCTCCTGTTGTATTTGTTGATTAATAACAAATAAAAATAATTAATATAGTTTTCATCTATTTTAATTTTTTTTTTCTGTGTCCAAATTTTTTGTACTCATTTGATATTATGTTATTAATAAAATACAATATGTTACATTATATCAAGAATAAGTATAAAAACAATCTGTCCAATATAAATTATTACCTACTATATTTAGACATATTTATAGAATAAAATGCGTTCAATATTTTTAAAATTTATGTTTAAGAAAATGTCAAATAAAAATTGTAAACAGTGAGATACATATAACATACACCAAAGTCACAACAATAAGTTATATTGTATTTTCTATATCATAATTAAATACAATATCATGTGGAAAAAATATAATAGTTTTTAAACTGTCTAGGATTTGATTGTCTATACAATTTAACTATTGGAAAGGAGGGAGTAGAAGGCCATAAAAATAAAAATAATACAATTATATTTTTTTTTTAAATAATACTTATAAACTAAAAATTATAGTTACAATATTTGGTACGCTATAGAACGTAAAATATTGTACAATATAACGGTTTAAATTATAAATTAAAAAGGAAAATAATTATACAACATAATTATACAATTTTTTTTTATAATAAAAAATCGTAGGAACACAAAATGCCACTATTTAAATCACGACCACACCATAATCCGCGTTTTTAAATAAATTGTTTTCTTTTTGAATATATAATTAAAATAAAATAATAGTTGTAATACTCTACAGGGGAAGAATTAATTAAAATGAAAAGGTCTTTTGTACTTTAATAATCACATAAATATTGACTTGTTAATATATAATAGTTATAATATATAATTTTTTTTATACTCTAAACATTAAAATAATTGTGAAAAAAAGAATATTATTTTTATCGCGTGTATTTATTTATTTAATTGCACTGCGCTATCACATTCGTTTCCACATATACATGACATTTTTTCACCTTGAAAGGAGTATGGAATCAAATTTTATAATATAAATAATATGTCATCAGTTACTGATTGCTTAATAAATAAATAAATAAATACATACATGTATATTATATACTCACATTCATGCACACAAACATACACATAATAATACACATGCATGTATACATATATATTTGGAACTAAAATATAATATGTATTGTTTTGTACATCACAATTAATTAGTTACAATTATAATTGTTTCTAATGTTATTATATTTTTATTTTTTTTTAATTATTGCATACATGTCTATTACAACACTGGGAAGTTAGTGATCTTATAATTAAAACAATAGCATATATATACATACACACAAATATATTTATATTCATATGATAGCTTTCAGATTTTACTGTATTATATAATGATAACATGTGTGTCTTAAAACAAACAAATAAATATTTAATAATACCTAACGGTAATGCATATATTGAAAGGAAAACAGTATATAATCATGGGAGAAGAATTTGAGATCATGTCTGTACGGTATATAACATTGAATATAGTGTTACAAAATGAGCAGTAAAACAGGATACAGATGGTTGAGCTTTATCTCTAGATGGAATAAAATATATAATGTTAACCAGTAGGTGTTTAACAAGTTATCTACCAGCCACGCACATAATACAAGTCTAAAAAGGTATATAAAAAAAATATAAAGACCATTAGTAATATTTCTAATGATAATATAATGATAATAAATTATTGATAAATAAAATAATTACATTGTTATTTAGAAAAAAAAAAAAAACTATTAAATAGTTATACAATTGTGACATACAGATATGATTAACAATTGTATTGTGGCGGTGATATTAATTATTACTATTTCAAGAGCTATGTTTGATATATTAAATTAAATTTGATATGCTATATTATTGGAGGTAGATACTGCTTGTTTAACTGATAACATACATTGAGTATACAGAGTAAGCCATGGTATTTTTCTGTGACAATAATATTTCAAGAAATCAGTAAAAACGATGGCCGACTCTGTACATATATATGATTACAAACCGAAATTGAATTTTTCTTTAAGGACTTTACTTCACAAAATTTTGTAATAACAATTATTGCTTTTACATTGACTACTGAATACCGTGTAAATAAGTTAAATAGAATATGTTATTTCCATTTATTATTAGGTATGCTTACATGCTAAATATTTGGTCTGTCATGCTTAAATGCAAGACAAAAATTATCACAATATAAATATTTTATCATTTTAAATGACTAAAATTATAAATGATTTTTTTTTATTATTCTTTCTAATATTACTATTAAATTATAAGTCCTAAAGGTGCTTGATTGAATGTTACGAACTAGTTAATCTAGGAACTGATCGCGCTAAATTATTAAATCCATAAGGATTACATGTTAATAACTAATTGTAACATAGAAATATAAAATTTTTGAGTTTGAACAGTGCAAATGGTAGATGTTTTAACGATTCAGCCAAATTTTTTACAATAGCGTTATGGTATGTTGGAAAATGAAAAAAAGGGCAAAAAGAATAAGATAAATAATAACTAATTTGATGGTCGATATAATTAAAATACCTAAATCGTAGGTATTTACCTGTAGAATTCTGTCATATTTTATAGGTCACACACCTTTCGGATGAGAATATTTTGTGTCAACAGGAACTGTGTATGCCGTCAGTGCATTGTGTTCATGCAAATTTCATTTGGTGACCGGTACTTGGACAACATAATGCATCAACCGAGTGGGCAGACTACCTGCATTTAATTGGTAAAACTCAACTAGTTGTAATAGGTCATAAAATTTGGTCACACCGTTGTCTAGAGTAAAACAAACTTGATCATTTATTGGATCCATTTGCTACAAAAAAATAAAATACAAACATTACATTTTTCTTAAACAATAATAATCAACAGTAAAATCAAAAAGATAATACATACTGCTACAATAGGCGTATGGACAATTTTACCACCACATTTGTATGTTAGAACATAGGAGCCACATTTACTTTTGCTCTCACGAATTAAAAATACACTGCAATTTATATTTTTAGATTAGTGAGAATTATCAGAATAATTTATGAATAAATATTGGTACTCACCCATCTTTATTCCCAAGTCCATTAAGAACATTGGCAGCTTGATCACGACTCATATTTTTGTGATACCATGGCTGAGATAGGTGAATATCATTTTCAAGTTTAGACACAGCAGTTTGAAGACCAGGGGTAGTTCTACCGCTAGACCGCCAACTCCGCCGTACACTACCAGTCTCTGCTTGAGCAATGGCAAGTGCTTCTTTTGGATCTTCTACAATACGACCTACATTTCCAGAAAAGTCCATGGCTACGTGAGACCGTACACTCTCATTAGGTAACGGTTTCTTATTATATTCATATTCATTAGCATCATTGTGCTTTTTCACAAATGATCTGTAGTTATCTCTTAATTGCTTGCCGTACTATGAAAATATAAATAGATATTTCATAAGTTACCCAATTTTAATGTATAAATGACAAATGATAACATTAATTATAATGCAGTTTAATACTTACTTTCGACAATCTCATAGCGCACATCCAATAGGATAGTGACTTTTTGGAATTGCACGCAATGTACTGCTTTAGTCCACTGGCGTCCACCAAACACAGACTATAATCTGTAGGGGCACCCTTCAACTTTTTATTTGTTGTGTACACCTTGAAGTCACATAGGTAAGCCCAAATTTGTAGTTGGCATTTATCTCGAGATATGGTCTGCAAAAATAAAATAAAAACATTAAATAAATGCTAAGAAAACAAATTTTTAGGTTGATGACAAGCATTAAGTTACATATAATAATGTCTACCATAAACAAAATGTAGTGGATATTACTTTACGAGTTCAATAGACTGACTATTTTTTTTCTACGAAATTTTACAGTAGATAAATTATACTATTATACTCTATCAATACAAACATGAATTCAGCAAGAAAATGTTTAAACCAGCTAATCATTCTAATTTTCCAATAGTCCTACCTTAATACAAAAAATATTGAGTAAGTGTTTGCTTAAGCATAACAACTATGATCAGTGTATAAGTTAATCAATCACATACGCACTAATGAAATTTAGTATTTTCGTTTTCAGTTTTTAAAACAAAAAAGACAATGGAATTAATAATTATTAAGGGGGATAAATACACAATGGAGCATTTAGGTGTAATGTTACTGTAATGCTTAAGTGTGTACGGTAACAAACTGTACCACGTTCAGTTCGCGACGCCGTCGATCCCCAAATGTCGATATTTTGACGAACTTCAGAGGAATGTTACATTACGATATGTTACAAATGTGAACAGGTAAACTAGTTGCTCGCCACGAATTGCTTTGCCTCTAATGAACTTTATTAATATAAATATTTCTTTATTTATATTGATTTAATTTAAATTTAAAAAATGTTGTTGAACAATGAAAGAGTGTTAGACCGCACTGAGTACTAAAAAAATGCATACTATGGTTTCCAAAGGACCCAAAATAAAACAAAAAATTGGAAAATTATTAGAAGACATTCATTCTGATGACATTTTTGAACTATCCACTCATTTTTTGTAGCTGAAGATGGTTAAATAAATCTGATCTATTAAATATGTCCTTAGACTTCATTAAGTTTGTCACCATCTTCATTCACTTTATTTTTATTTTTTTAAATGAATACGAAATAAAATAAATGCCGTGCTAGTTACTAGTAAATTATATATTGCACAGAATATTACACGAGAACAAATGGTGAATCACTGATGGATTGACCGGAGAACAACATATACAGAGTAGTGCTCGACACGTACGATCGTTTATAATATGTAATATGCGAACACGAACTCTGTTACATTACAGCATTATATTACACATAAATGCTTTAGTTTGTACCCCCCTCCTTAGTTAACAGAGACTGTGTACTTTTAGTATATTAATATAATAGTTATAAATGATAAATTTAATATATATATTATAAATAATTTATCAAAATTAAACGACCAAGCTAGTCCATTAAAGGTAAGGATTACGTTGATTGATAAGAAATAAAAAATACCGTTAAAGTATGTACTATCGTAAATATAAAATCAACTTTTTTTTTTAAAAATCAAAACAGGATTTTAATTTATTTAAATAAATTGGGTACTTATTAATAACTATAATTTTTGTTAAAAAAATGTAGAAACAATTAAATATGTTCAAGACGAGTTAATTTAGTTGGATGTTTAATTCCTTATCATTTAGAACGTAGTACAAAAAAAAACCCCAGATGTACTGCCATTCTACAGACGAGGGATAGAACACGCGTACGGAGGATCGCGTACAGAGCTATAAATTTTTTTTATTATTTAAATAAAGATAGCATATGGGACTTGAACAGTGATACGTCAAATGCCGTATACACCGTAAAGGTGAGTGAGATATTTGTTTTGTTCACAATGAAGAGTTTCATTAAAAATAAAATTATTGTAATGTATGCGTTTTAAAATGAATACGACCCAGTAAAAGGGCTGTCCGTTGGTCGGTTAATAAAACTATTTACTTACTATGGAAAACGGAATAAGTAGGTACAATATACTCGAACAATATCAAAAAACGACAGTATCAACTTCAGACTTTTGGAATTATCATTACAATTTTCAATTCAAAAAACCGTTTTTTTTCAACGAGATTCAATTATTATGATATGTAAAAATGATTGAGTTCCAATTCGGACGAGTGAATACAAAACGTTATTTTAGAGATGAAAATGTTTTTTATTTTTAACACATAACTTTCCAATTGAAATTTTCTCGAGCACATAGTCCGTTAATCCACTTTTACTCGGTTAAAAGATGTAATACAATTTTTGATTTCAAGAAAACGATACTTTTTACGCGAACACACGACATGAAAAAACAATATTTCGACAGGTCCAAGATTAATTTATAGGCGCCGATTGAAAACGCAGTAAGATAAGTAATCCCCGACATAAAATTTATTATTCTTTAATACTAAAATAGATTTTCCGATAAAACTAGGAAAGTACGTCTTTGATAAAATAATTTTATTGCATACTCCATTGCCAAGTTCAAATTTGGAAGTAAAAATAATAAGATATGAGTTAATCGTTTACATAAACCAGTGTTTCTTAAATTTTTTGAAATCACAAAACACCAAACCGTATTTTTTTTTATGCGAAACATCTATGAAAATGATTTTCAAAAAGAAAGGAAGGTACACAAACATGGGAATAAACAGTAACATACGCTAAAATACTAAATACAGCAAAACGTAATTAAATTATTTATTTAGGATATGATATAGCATTCAAGAAGTATCATCATATCTGATTTTTATAACAGGAAAAATAACAATAATATTGGTGCATGAATCTTAATAGGATTGATGAACTTAGATGTGACTGCAAATATTATCAATATCTGGAGTAAGATTTGTTAAAGTTATATCGGGGTAAAATAAAACCTATTTCAATAATCAGTATTTGTTGCTGCGACTGCTGAGAATCCACAATAAGTACGTTGAAGTAGAACTCTCAATACCTTTTCACTTAACGCTTCGTATTCGCACTGCGCTGTACTGCACAACATCGCGTCACTGGAACTAAACGCACAGTATCACGAAGCACAGTCGACGGTTGTATTGAAACCAAACCGTAATTTTATCCGTTATAATAACGTGGGTGTTTGCCACGTAATATTTTTTCGTTATCAACGGACGTTTTTTGACTTCTTATATTGTAGAAGCACAAAACACTATTGACTATGTATAAATTATTATTAATAGTACATTTCATACGGTAGTTGACTGTTAAGTAACATTAAACTATAATATTTTATAAATGTGCACCCTTTGAAGTAGTGTCATTGGACGCCTCTCCTTTATTCATGTCGTCAAATCTAGTCAATATGTTATTCAATTAATGTATCATTGTATATAGGATGAATAAATGTTCTTATTAATATAAATAAAAAAAGTGCACACCTAACGCAACTTTTTCCCTTTAGCCACCTCTGATCGTTCGTTAAATTGTTTTAAGTAATGTTTTGGAGTATTTTGAAAAAAATACTTAAGTTTCGCGGAATCCTTAAGAGATATCCATGAACACAGTTTAAGAAACACTGATGTAAACTATCGATTAAAGCAATAAGTTTTAGATAGTACTATAGTAGTAATATATTATTATAGTATATAGGTAATATAAAACGTACAATCAATTTTAGTGTATAGTACGTTGCTTTATCAACAAACTATTAGTTTGTTTAAAACGAAATTTATTTTAAATTTCATCCCATCCAAGTAACAGTGGATAACCCTATTGCTTGGTGCAGTAACCGCTACACCTAAAAATAAGGAGTAAGGGGGCACTATATCATACAAGTTAAAATAATATAGTTGAGACATATTATTTATTATTATTGCTAACAATGATAATATTGTATTATTCATGTTTCATTTTATTTCTGTGCTATATTTTGTATAATACCAATATTAACAAATAATGAAACAAAAAAAAAATATTAAAATTTTAAATTTTTCAAGGGGTGGGTGGGTATAATAGTATCTCGCTATACTTGAAAAATCCGCCACTGCCAAGTAACATACAATAACAGACTCTAATAACAAGAACAAAAAATTGTTGTCAACTTTTGTAAGATGATACTATGTACATGAGATTTTATAATTTAAAAGTTAAATTTTACTAACAAAATAATAATAATTTATAAGAGAACATTAAATTATGTAAAAATAAAAAATAAAAATAACTTTATTTATGAACTGAAAAATATAAAAAATAATATATAAATGTTTTTTATTACATGACTGATTAGAATATTAGATATTCATAAAAAAATTAAAAAAAGGTTAACTAGGAATGGTTGGTTTTGTGTGTTATTATTATTTACTTGCCCTTAATACATACATTTAGTTAAATAAGTATTTCAAGTGCCTTCCAATTTTTACTCGTTATTTAAAATTCAGCAGAGAATTATGTTTTGTATTTAATAGACTAGCGAGTATTTATTTAATAGACTTTTCGAGATTTTCTTGATAGTTCAAATATCTACTTGAAATAAAAAATATTTGTTTCAAAAAATAATTTAGAAATAAACGTTGCAGTACTCATCCAAGCAACTTTACGATTTTGCGTAAAAATATTGAGAATTTTAGCCATTAAAATTAATTTTCATCAAATACAGGTGTATTTTAAAAAAAATATAAGGAATACCTGAAGCGCACATTAATCTTCAATAATACCGGTTATAGGGGCTATTATTTCATTCAATAAATTTGAATTTAATAAAACTTAAATCAATTCAATTAACAATCAACTTTTAAAAAAAATTTATATCACAGATATAGAAATAATTGATAAATAACTATGTAACAATTTGATTTCAATAAAAGCCAAACAATAATAAATGTAAATTATTGAAAATAAAGTGAGTAAGAAATACGAGTAGTGCATATAACAGCGTTATACAATAGCTCAAATATATATTTCAAATTCTCAGTAGTAAAATTAGTTAAATTAACGTACTAAATAGAACCTTTGACAAATGAAACATAGATTCAAATGGGAATTAATAAATTATTGTAGTAGCAATGATTCTTCTGGATCTTAAATTAAAATTGTATGATCAACTTGATTAAATCACTCACCAAGAATAATCAAATTATTATAATGCAATTAGTGAAATTTAATAAAGCGTTCAATGGAAATAAATTATACAATGGA